CATGCTTGCTTTTCCTAAGTAGCTATTGCTTTCTGGTTTTCAAATGTGAATTGTAAAAATTTTTATATAATTGGGTGGAACAAGTCAGAAAAAAAAAAGTGGAACAAATGTAGAGGTGAGCATTGCATTTAGCTTGACTGATTTTTTGTCCTGAGAGAAACAAGAGAAAATGAAACTAAAATCAATGTCTCTGCATGGCAGCTTACATAGCAACAGGCAAATTATCTCCTACCTCTACAAGGTCATGCTCTTAATGGATTGTGTTTCAGGGGTCTGACAGAGTTATATTTTGCTTTTTACCTTTTGTAAATCATCTTAAGACAGCCAGCTACTCCAGGGGTCTCACTCTTGGCACTCTTCTTTGGTGTATGAACCAGACTACCAGTGTTCTCACTTAGATAAAAAAACCCCAACAAATCTTCAACCAACCAACCACCCACTCCCAAATTCAGAAGAAAAGCATCAGATTAGTGCTTTTACAGCATCTGAATAATAATATTGTTTCCCAGATTGAGGAAATAAGCCATTAGTTTACTACTAAAGAAGATAAAAATGTGCTGGTTTTCCCAACTCCTGTGAGTATACCATGTCTTTCTTGGGTACATTAGTGCAGTTGAAACCACTGGAGAAGATTTCTATGAACTTCACTAATCACTGCATGTGTGTCTCCTGAAAGCTTTTCTTCAGTACTTTTGTTTTGTTTTAACTCAAAATCCTAGGTTTAAAAGAATTTAACAGTAGTGAAGCTTTAGAGGGAACATGTTAAGAAAGAGCTCGACCATCCACTGCCTGTGTTTATCTTAGCTCATGGAAAAAGCAAGGTTAATGCAGCTTAGCCTGCAAGGAAGAGGGCTGTAGTGACTCAGGTTATGCATGATTGCTTACTGAGCTGTGATAACTTGATTAGGAGTCCAAGTACCAAGTGTTTGCCTGGAAATTCACCTTTTCACAGGGCTCACTTTCAAATAAAACCACTTGCAGAGACGATTAAGTATGGACTCAAGCTTGAATGTTTTAACAGCATGAATATTTGTATTAACAAACCTGCTTTGGTCTGGGTCTTTGTGTTTTAGATTTTTAGTTTGTATCTGAACTCTGTTTACTGGAGGTAACCTGAAATGAAAAGTCCATATATGTTTCCTAAGAATGCTTTACTTGGATTTGTTCTTCCTACTGTGTGAGGTGATGGCAGATCCAGTAGTTTATATGGTGATGTCTTTAAGGAAAAGCACATAAAAATAGTCAAATGAAAGAAAGCAAATTTCCACGAGTTGGATTTAGTGTGGGGTTTTTTTTTACTTTTTTTTTCATTTTACTCAGAAGATGAAAATTATCCCATATGGATTTTTACTCACATCTTCCCCCACTAGAAAGCAGATCCTTGTGGAATGAAAATTGGCTTAAAAAACTGAAGTATGAAATTCAACTTTCTATACATATTTCAGATTTCAGATTTTGCATATCCATGTAGCAGAAATAGTAATTTGACTGGATTTCTCATCAGAAAGTAGACCTTTAGCAACTCAAACTTACACATTGCAAAAGATAGTTTTCTACAAAAAAGCTTCACCAGATTCAACAATTCTTATAAACAACTATTACTACCACTAACCAGTTTTAATTGTTTTCCTCACACTGATGTTTAAAGCTGAGGATAATATGCCAAAGAATGAAGTGTGGAATCTGATTTGAGAAGCAAAATGTAAATAATGCTTAAAAAAATATACAGATTCAGGGATGATTTTCTTCCCATTAACTCCCAACCACCCAATTGTAGATTCCACAATGACTTGGGTCATCCAGACCCAAGGAAGGAACAGACTTGTGCTGGGACACACAAAATCCCAGGGAATCAAAGCGTGCAGCTGTAGAGGTTCAGATTTACCCAGAACAAAATCTACATAATTTTACTTTAATTCCAAAGGTTTATTTTGTGATCACTGTGCACAGACATAGTTGATCACACACACTTGTGGTACTCATACAAACACCACACTGCAGTACCTCATCCCAATGTCACAGACAGGAGAAGAGAACGTGGCACCACACACCACTCGCTGGCAAACACACAGGCTATAGACAATTTGATACATTCAACAAGAAAAACCAAATGATAAATTGCTGATATTTTCCATTTTATCCTCTCATTGCTGGAGAAACTATAGCAACACAACAATGGAAAAAAACTTTATGGAACAACTTGAAGAACAACACGAAACTCTCATTAGGGTCAGAGATGAGAAAGTTATTGCAGTACTGGCACATCTGAAACTTCCACAACGCAAGGCAGAGGACACTGCAGCCACCTTCCCTGGCCAGTGAGCAAAGCACCAGCTCGGTGCTTTACCTTGTACCACAGGTGGCAACAAACCACTGGGGAGATGTGGAACCATCATCCCATGGCTCCTTCAGTCTGTAGCAGCTTTCTTTGCAGCCACACAGGAAGCGTGTGCCCATCTCAGGTAGGGCAAGAGGTGGGCAAATGGGATGGCAGAAGAGAAAAACATGACCCCTTGTTGTTAATGTTGTACCAGCCCCTTGAGGTGTATAACAGGAAATTCTGTTGAGCCATCTCTACCCACACATTCAGACCTAGGCTCCAAATGCAACTGTAAGCAACTGTAAGATGATTTTATTTTGTTGCAGAAGCCCCATAAAACTACCATATCAGGTCATCATGATATTTAATTGAAGTTATCCATTTTTAAAAATGTCTATAATGAACATTAATGAACAGCACTAAGTGCTAAATTCTTCTAATTCTAATAATAATGGTTTCCAATCTTGCCACCTTGACTCAAACCAGATTACATCATACCATGTTAGTAGCCCTAAATGCAATGTAATTGTCAATCTGAATGAGAAGGTCTGAATTTGCCAGTCTCACCCTGCAGGCAGAAAAGGAAGAATTTCTTCCTAAAACTGTCTGGAGGGGTGGCATTCACACTCATTTTTTACATAGCCATTCACTTAACAAGACTGATGTAACTCATGGAATAGGGAACTAAAGGCACTGAAAGATAATATTTTCATTTGCTATATATAAAATTTTGTAAGTGCTTATTAAACAGACATTTTTCTTCAGTTTTCTCCACAATTAGCTTCTATCTATGATTATCAGTTGGTATAATCCTGATTCACTCTCTCTCTTAATAGTAGCACCAAACTCATAAATTTTATTTTTTCATTCTTAATTCTCTTTCTCATATATATTTTCATTTTCTTACTGCTGTACCCCTATCCCCCCCCCAAAAAAAGCATAAATTCTGGCATAAAGGCTTACATCAATTTTTTTTTCTATTACCTAGTAGTAAAATTGCCCTATTAGGTCAGCTTACAATGTGTGCAGTAAATGTGCCACATACAAATAAATCACAGTATAAAACTATATACATAATTTAGTAGTAACAGCTAAACATTAGGATCTCTGATTTTAATTTACAGTGTAATTTAAAGTGTAGAACAAAACAAAAACCAGCTTATCACTTGGGGAAATATGAAAAAAACCCCAGATATTGGAAAACAATTCTCCATCTTGTGTGTGTATAAATATAAATATATAAATATAAATCATGGAATAACAGAATGGCCTGGGTTGGAAGGCACCTTACAGATCATCTAGTTCCAACCCCCACCATTGGCAATGACACCTTCCACCAGATCAGGTTGCTCAAAGCCCAGTTCAATCTGGCCTTGAACACTTCCAGGGGTGGGGCATCCACAATGTCTCTGGTCAACCTGTGGCAGTGCCTCACCGCCCTCACAGTGAAGAATTTCTTCCTAGTACCCAATCTCTATCTACCCTCTTTCACTTCAAAGCCACTAATATTAACCCATTAATTATTAAAATATATCTATACTTGGAATATATATATATTCATATATGTATACATATGAATACATATGCAAGTGTTCTTATAAAAAACGCTCCAAATGTATGGGTTTCTGGATTAGTAAATACAACTTGTGGAAGCAGTTGGCTCTGCCTACATGCTGCACTTTCTTCTTGTGTCTTACTCCTACCTGAGAGTAGCTCTAAGACTTACTGATTTTCATGTAAAACAGCTATTTAATTTAAAAGTGCTCATTACCCCTCAGCATCCAGGTACCTAGAAGGATCAAGAAAAACTATTATCAAAATTTCAAACTGCAAAGATGATGTTCATTTAAAAAAAAGTCCCATGAATGGTTCACCTAACCACCGAGAGCCTGCTGAGTTTTCCTGTCATGAAATTAAGAAGTTTTACAAAGCACTAAACAGCTTAGAAACTTATTAATGTGAACTAGGCCTGGAGCTTCGGAATTTAATGCCCAAATAAAAATTAGTGTTTAAGTAAGAAATAGGCACTGAAATTCCTTTGGAGAGATCTGAGTGTTAAGAACTAACAGGTCTCAGAGAAATTTTGTCTCCTAAGACTTACTTTAAAAGGAATTTGAAAAGAAAAGCAAAAAACAAAACAAACCAAAAAAACACACCCCCCTCCCAGCCCCCTCAAAAAATCAGAAAACCCCAACCCTTGGAACACTACATGTTTGATTTTTTGTTTTAATACTATGCCCTACACATACCACCAGAGTTTTCTCACTTCATCATGAGGTTTAGTTTTTTCTTTTCATAGTAAAGCTTCTGAGTCTATTCTTAAAAAATAAAATTATTTAAGTATATATCTTCAGAGAAATGCAGTGCCAACAAACCCAGAAACTCTTACTATTACTAGTCAACCAGGATTTGCAAGAGAGACAAGGAAACTCATCTGGACCCAGAGCTGCCTGTTTGTGGTAAGGTGGGACATGTTCAGAAAATACAACTGAAGGTGAAAATAGCTGGAAAAGGAACGGGAGGTCAGGGAAGTGTCATGAGTCTTCTTTCAGTTCCTCAGTTCTCACGTGCAACCTGAATGATATCTTGGGAAACGTGGAGAAATATATGCTGGTGACATTTCAGGTTTGCTTGCATTGATCCTTAGCAGACCCCCACTGGGATCTCTTCCCTTTTTCCTGCTACCTCCTCCTCTTCCTGGCTACAGCACACACACTTCCCTGTGAGCACAGGGGGATGCTCAGCCAGCTGCTGCTCACAACCCTGGCTCCCCACTGCCACTTCACTTCTACAAGTCCATATTCCCCATCCCACTCACCACAGCACCAATTTCACAGGTGCCGAGAAAACCTTGTCTCTTATTTCTTTAATCAGTTGCTGCTACTCCATGCACTTAGTGCCATGGTCTAGTTGGATCAAGGGTTGGACTTGATGATCTCAGAGGTCTTTTCCAAGCCAGTTGATTCCATACTCCTGCCTCTCATTGCCTCAACCATCACCCCAGCTGCTAATGAATTTACCCATATTCACTTTAACCATATTCGAGGGGGAATCAGTTCATGATGCCACATAAAAAATACAGGTTGTACACCGCTATAAATGAAAAGAGCATGTTTGCCCTCATCCCCTGAGAGAGTATCCTGATTTTACACAATCTCTTTTTTGGTTTCCCCATTGTCCACTGAAGATGTGAAGTCAGATTCTTGTTCTGCACTCGATTTCCTCTCCCCTGCGTAGTGGTTCATTTCTTGCATTTCTAAAGTTACTTTATTCCTTTTGGCAAATGCCTGGCTGATCTCATGAAATGTCTTATTTTTTGTTTCAGGCAGGACAAAAAACAGGTAGGTCGCTCCCGCAAAGCAGATGGCAGCAAACACTAGGAAGCAGTAGGTCTGTAAACCAGCCTGTGAATAGAAAACAAAGGAGATAGTCATGACAAAAGGGAAAAAAATCCAGAAGAAAGGAAACATCAGGAATGATTTGAAAGAAAAAATGGGGTGTATGGAGCAATTTTTAACCAAGCACGGTACATGCTGGCACTCGTTGCAAGTCAGAGTGCTGAGAAGTTCATAAAAATGCATGAATTGTTGGTTCTTCCAACACTGCCTGTGGCCTGTCGACAGAAAAGCAGGTTCCTGGCAAAGGCGTGTGGAGCTGCATTCTGGGCGATGCCGGGAGACACCAGACTGAGCTCAGGCACTGCAGGCACGGGGTGGCAGCAGGGCTCCTGAAATGTGCTCAACAGAGGCTGGAACTGCTGTGGCATTTGTGGAATTGAGGCAGATGTTTCACTGGGTTGTTCTGCACACCGCCTCACAATTCCTGGGTACCAAAACTGCTGCATGCTTCTGCAATATTGGGCATCTGTACACAACCCATCGAAAACCTGCCATTGCCAGGGGCACCTTCATCACTGTAGTTACAGGCTTTGAGATTTGCAAAATGAACAAGATAAAAAACCCAAATGGTAGACATTTGTATCACTCATAAGGTTATGGGAGCTTACAGCAGGAAAAAAGAAATCCCTAAAATGTGTTTACTTTCATGCTAGAAAGTGTAAGAATTAAGTGAAAACAACGTACAGACCGTATTTTAATGTTTTGGATTTTACTTCACTGCAAAAATAAAGAGAGAAGGCACAAAGAAATTAATTTATAAATAGATTATAAAGGCTCCAACCAGCTAATATGAGTTGTACTTCACTGAAACGTAAATATTTCTTGCCCGGTGATTATTAAATCATTTCAATAGCTTTCAGTTACCTTTCAACAGTACAGTTGTGAAAAAAACATTTGATAATTACAATATTCAACAAAGCTGTGCTTTGTTGAACTGCCAGCCTTTGAGGAAACCTCCCTTCCTCCTCTATAGATTTACACTCCGTTTTTGTCCTGAAACCAAAAATCCATTTGACTTTTAATAACAAGCCTGAATGAAACCAAAAAGGGTATCTCCAGCTCCAAAAATAAGGTGACCTTTCTGTGGTGCCTTGTGTGAACAGTAAACCCAAGGAGACCTGGATTCCTTGCACATCACCTCAGGTGTTGCAAGGCTGAGGTTACCCCAGGGAAAATCAGTCAGGACAGAGGAAACAGATGTGGCTTCCTAAACATACGTGTTTATAGATGCCATTAGAGGTATGTAACAGAAACAATTAAGGCAGAACTAGACAGTGATGCAATCCTGATTTTGCACATTTGTGTAACACACTCCCATCATTGTTGGTTACACCAGTCCTACACTGCAGGCTGGTTTAGCTCCCTGCTTTGGGTGCTCATGGTGTTTGCAATTCCCAGCATTACTTTTATGTTTCACTTGCTCAGTATACATTATACATGGTGTGCTAGAAGAACATCAATTCCTGTGTGAAACAAGAAACTAAAAATGTAAAAGACCTTTCCTGCAGCTGCTTTTTAATACCATGGCTGATTGCCAGCCTGCCTAGTTAAAGTGTTTTCTGTTTCTGTGGATAATTCACTACCTAGGTCAGCCTTTTAAATCCTGCCTGTAATAAGGAAAGCTGGAAAGTGCATGCTCTGATATTGTCTATGGACTCCTGAGATCATCAAAGCTTTTTCGTTAAATTCTAGAAGCATGAAGTTCTGAGCAACCTGACAATCACAAGACAAACAGCATGAGTGATGTGGGGGGAAAATATTCTGGCATGGGAACAGATAGAACTTTCAAGCTTATACAGAGGCAGAAGCAAATGGATATAGTAGAGAGGAAAAAATGATTTCGCAGTGCCTCATAAATCATCCTGTTATGCTAAGAATTCAAATTTTACATCTGGATTTTCTGCATCTATAATTGTAGTTCAGCTGGATGGTAGAGTTTCAATCCAGAATCATGTTTTTCACTTTTTAAAATTTTACTGAATTATTCTCCATTATGACAACGAACAATTAATGCCTCGAACAAATAAGCCTGGTAAACAAATGCAATAAGTTATCTGCATCTCTTGGTGGTGCAGCCACAACTTCGTTCCACCTTTTTTATCCCTCTTTATTTCTTTGCCGTCCAAGATCTAAATAAATTAGTGTTTATTATCTTTTTTGATTCACGTCTCTGTAAACCTTTTCTAATTGAACTGAACAGTCTCACGAGTGTGTGATTTATTTGCAATTATTTTACATTTATTGGTAATAAATATATTCTCCTTAATTTCTGCAATCCCTTAAGAAGTAGTCCTCAAGAACCTCAAGAACCTCTAAATGAATTTCCACAGAGAATAAGATAAAAATTAAATTTTGTTTTAAATCCTACAAGTGGAGATTATAGGATTTATACAAGACTGTGCACTTGTGCCAGCAGGATTTGCCCAACGAAGCCATAATTCCCAGATAGCAGCACTGCAGGGTGTTGCACACAAAGCCCTTTTCTCACTGGCCAGTCTTCAATCACAGTATTTCCTTAAAGCTGGTTATTATTTTACACTCACAGGGAAGGAAACCACTTGTATTCATAAAACTTTCGTAACTCATTCAGAGTTCAACTCGTATCACCCAAACCTGCATTTGGCACAGAAGAACATCTCACATTAATTAAATTACTCGTTATAAGCACAAAACCTTCTACCTGCACCGCACACTGATAAAGGATGTAGGACAGAAGTACAGGATAAAGTGGAAGGAAAATGTTAAATCACAAATCCCAACTCAGTAAAAGCCCTTAGTGGGACGTGAGTGGGATACAGTTCAGCCTAGATGTTTAATTCATTTTTATCTATTTCTGATATATTTTGAATTGCCTGGTGGTGGAGGAAAGATCTGAGGGGTTGGAACAAGCAGTAGATTGGCCAAAGCATATTGGATGTGCCCATCAGGGGGTTCAGAAGGTAAGATAATGTGATGGAAAAACATTAAATGCTGAGTTATTGAACAATGGCTACTACAGAACAGGTACTCATACACAGATCTGACAGAAAAATGGATCTGTCTTTGTTCCATGAAATGACTATACTTTCTCTTATTTATGTTATATTAGATATTATTCATATTATGCCCAAGAAACCTGTATCCCTCTTTTATTCTTTGACATCTGTAACCTCCATAGTCTCCTAACTAATCCATAGTCTCTCTTCGTTATTTTACTCCTTCCGACTGTGTAGAGATGAGACTCTCCTGCTGCTACTCTGGAACTAAAACCCCAGAGTTTTACTGATCTTGAGCTGGGGTGGGAGTAAAAAAACTGAGTAAGAACTTCAACTAAAGTCTTCCGTGACTAAGTCCAGATATGCTGCAACTCTGTGTGTTTGGGCCAACAGATGTGGTCTCAAGATTCTTTTCTGACACGTGCACTGTCAATGATATAAGAATAATGACAACGTGTATGATAAAATTTAAAAGGTAAATATTGTTTCTACGCTCTGTGACATTTCACTAACTACATGGGGTTGAAGCCTCAGCGTTCAAAAACTTGAATACTTGTATCCACCAGAAGAGTAACTTGACTCCTTAACAAAATATACCACACCCAAGGGTTAAAAGCAGAAGGGAATGGAAGGAGAAGAAGCAAAGACAAGCCAATTCTGAATGGAAGTTGTAACTAAACACACAACGAATACAAGGGAAGTATGCGGTTTCTGCTACTTCTGTTTTCTCATGTAAGGACTGGTTACTTCCTCACACTCAGTTCCCAGCAGGAGCAGCATCAACCCTGCCCACGTGAGAAGCACTGAGCCAGCCCCATCCATGCCCCCCTGCCACATCCATTCGGGTAAGTCTCTTCAGACAACCTGTTCTGTTCAAGTTCAGAACACGCTGCCACCTTCACAAAGCTGCTTCTCCTCCCCCAACACCAGAAAGGCTTGCCAGAGCTAGGAACATATTTTCTTAGCAAGACCTGAAGGCATGATTTTACATGCACCATGAGAAACCCCAGGGTCAGAAGGAAGACAGAATAAAGTGCGATGACACTCTGTGCTTTGCAGCCATTTTCACCTAACATTTCCTTAAGCATGACCTCCTGCAGGAACATCCAAGGTTCAAAGGTGCCTGAAGTTTCAGGTGGTTTCCTAAGTAACAACAGCTCAGTCTCTTGATAGATAACCATTCAGAGCCAAGGTCAGATACACAGGTGAAGATTGTTGAAAGGCCAGGCTTCCGATGGGTTACTGAAGGTCACCTGCCCTCCCAGGTGCATAGGGGAAGGCAAGAGAACAGCAGACACTTATTGATGCAGTCTCCTGAGGGAAGCACCTACTTACTCAGCAGGCTAATAAAACCTCTTCAAAACAGGATTTACATTGGATTTTTCAAGGCTGATAAGGGCTGTTGTTATACAGGATATTTAATAGTTAAGCATAAACTTTTAAATGCTTCACTTTCTATTTGCATACCAGCTTTCTAAGGAGACCATTTAAAACACAGCATTTCTGCAAATGTCCAGCCAGCTGAACCCTGAACTACTCACTTTTATTTTCTCTTCTATCTTCTCTTTTCTGCAGCTTATCAAGGCTTTGCATTTGTCAAAAAAAAAAAAAGAAAAAAAAAGAAAAAAAGAAAAAGGAAAACCAAGAAGTGATTTACCTAAGACACACATACTATTACCACAAAAAAGCATCAAAGGTGAAGGAGTTGGGCAACCCCCTCAAATCAGACTGCAGACATGGCAAGCAATCAGGCCTGACTTTGAGGAGGATTAGATACAGCTGCATAAGGAAGGTATATGATTAAGTAGGTGCAGCTCTGCCACATTTTCACAAGGAAAAGGTTAACAAACATATTCCCAGCTTGTGTGGGGCTGCTACGCACATTAGGCAGAATGTACAGGCATTTCCTCCACCTTCCTTTAAATAAAATGGTAAAGAATACTTGATTTTTGCTATTGTGAACTGACTTTAAGTGCCCAGAATGAACAAGTAAAAGAGTTCACTTTTTTCAAGCTAAAAAGTAAACTAAAACAAATAAAAACCCTAACATTGAAATGATCAGATTTCTGATTTTGATTTCAAGAACCCAACACTTTGCCACTTTTAAAGTCATCTAGCTGAGAACAGTCTTCCTGCTAATAGCTTACATGCTGTGAACACCATAGTCTGGAAAAATCTAAAAGTAGTTGAGAGGAACATCATGACGTGCTATTTAATGATGGCTGCTTACAGACTTAACACTTTCTGTAGCAAAGGTTAAATTCTAAGCAGGACTGTGATACTGGAAACAGCAAAATAGATATTCTAGGGTAGATATAGCAAAATTAATGAGCAAATCAACAAATTCTGAATCAATTTAACAAACTTAACACATTAATATTTTTAAAACAGAACTTCTGGCAAATGCCAGATGTGATCCTAAATTCTCAGCTTGCAATGTCACAGCCCCTTGGCACTGGCAATGGGTGTTTGCATTTGGAAGTTGCCATGAAGATTAGAATCATGAGATGGGGGTCAAACAGGATATTGAAGTGTTGAGGTCAAATGATAATGGTTAGATGTCTTACAAAAATGATCAGCAGCAAAACTGTTATTCATGTAGGCATTCGACTTTGCTTTGAATTGATATAATCCAGTGAAACAAATGGATGAGAGAGTATGTGTCCTTTACCTCTTGTCCTTCTTCAGTTCCAGACACAATTTAAGGTTCTGCTGAAAGTGCAGGACAATGAAGGACAGAGCACTAAAGTATAATGTATGAAACATATTTTCTAAGTAAAAAATAGATACATTTTTAGACATGAACTGCAATTTCAATCATGACCCTCACACATTCACTATCTCCTTATAAAAAAGTTAACAGATCCTTATATTTTATACCTGAAGTGGGTTGCTTCTAATTAAGAGCATTTTTTTCCTCACATCTAATCTTCTGATAGCCTACATTTCATTTTCTCATCTTTGAGGGGAACTTTAGCCATTTACCTTAATATGGGGGCACTGTAGTTAATTTAAACATCTGATGTATTTGAAAAAGTTTAAAATAGCTTGGCTGAGGGAATCTATGCATAGGCTTCTGTGAACACGCTTGTTATTCAAATTCTTATACTGCATAATAGAAAAAGTCAAGGGATATTATTATAAAGTAAAGAAATAATAAGGAAAACCAAAAGACAATCTTGCTGAGTAAATGACACTCGAGGCATGAGAAGGAAAATATCAAGTGTAAAAATAAGGAAGAAATAGAGCAGAAGTACAGGAGAGCCTCCTGAAACAAGTATAATGACTAAAAATCTAATGGAACAACCTGGAATATAAGATAAGAATACATCAGCATGTAATGAAAATAACATGTGAAATTATTTAATTATTACTGTTTAGTAAATCTTTGTATTTACACAATACATTACAAAAAGTGAACAGAACCTCTTTCTAGATATCGTGTAATTTATGGTCCCGCTACACCATTGGATTACAGAAATCTGTCCCTCCAAACTTACCATTAATGAAGAGTGCTAGTTTAACACAAGTCTATTCTGCTGCACCAGAGGTTTTCCAGACTTTTAGATTACACTTTTCTGCTGATGTCCCCTCTGCCTGCTTCAGCTCATTGCACCTATATACATACATTCTAATTTCTGATTTATCAAGTGTCCCTGGTCAAACCTCAGCACCTCAAATAGGTAGTTATGAGGGCTGGAAAAGTAGCTACATTTATTTTTTTTAATTTTTTTTTTTTTGATTTGTCAAAAATTTATTTGTATACTAGCTTTTCAATATTGTCTGCACATTTTAATGTATGACTCAAGGCACAGTTTTATTATATTTATCTACAGATGGTTGAAGGGCAAAAATCTAGACATTCAAATTAGTTAATTGGTGACATTTGGAGAAGTAACTACTGGTTGATTTTTTTAGTAACTCTAAAGTTAACAGATTTGTTTCTCAAACATTTTTGATAATTTTGTGGAAGGACACCAATGATCAAAAAAAATGGCTACTGTTTCTCAAGCAATCACGTTAGTATTTAAATACTTAGACAGGATTAGGCATTCATTCTGTGAATGAATTTTAAAGGGTTTTTTTCCTGGTTTAGGTTTATAAAATGAGCTAAGAAGAGGATATTGTCTTCCTGTAAAGAAGAGGATATTACCTTTCCGTAAAGAAACAGGTGACTCATAAAATGAATTTTGAGAATAAGGTTGACTGAAATAGAAAAAGGGGAAAGCTCAGGAAAGAGAAGACGTTCTAGTTTGATCTTGTGAAAAAGCTTTAAAATCAAAGTCTGAGTAACACTGCTTTCATCTCGAGGTGCAAACTCTAAACTTTTTCTCTTTTTTATGTTCTAAAGACCAAAAAAACAAAAAAAACCCCTTCAAGCCAGAAATATAATTTACCTTCATTAAAAATAAACTGGTTAATTTTGTAATCACAAAACAGGATATTTTTATGACACATGATAAATTCCCCAAGGCTACTTCATTTGGATGCAAAATCATTCAAAAAGCTTTAATATGCACATGGAAAATTAGAGAATGTAGTTTTCCTTTTTATTTGAATTTACTGAGGGTCTTTTTAAACAGTTCTCACCAGGTGATCTGTCAGGTAGGATTAGCAGGACAAGAAGGGAGTGTTGAGTACCTGAATGAAAGGGAAGAGCAGTCCGACTGCGAAGTTGGAGAGCCAGTTGACTGTTCCAGCTATCATGAATGCAGCTGGCCTCTGGGACTGCTGGAAAAACTCTCCAGTGAGGACAAATGGAATCCCACCTGAAACACAGAGTCCAACAATACAGTGGTTTTAGTAAACTCCCCCTGCCATCAGCAGTTTGACTTACAGAGATGAATGTGCTCCGTGTTGCACACCTCCGTGGCCAGCATTGCTCTGCAGCTCTCTGCTCAGGTGTATGCAGGGGCTTCTGAGACAGTAACATGTGATTTGTCAAAATCATATTTCAGAGAAGTGACACTTCTCTCTTTCATGCCATAACATCTCATGTTTTACATTCTTTTCAGGGATGGCAAGCAGGTAACAGAGCAGTGAATCCACACAACTGCTTCCAGAGTACTATGTGACCTGCTGTTTAGTAAAAATAAGAATGCCTGTTTCTACTAAAATGCTTGAAATTCTGAAAATTCAGAAATACTCCAAAATACTTTTAGACCTTAACAGTTGGGAAGATGGCTCCAAAGAAACTAAACAATATTTTTTTAACAATTACTACCCATTTTATTTCAGCAATAAAAAAGACAAAACATTTGCCTCTCTCTGAGTGTACTTGTCATTGATGCTTATTTAATACATTCTCCTACTAAGATATACTGCTGGCACTTCTGGCAAGGTCTGTTTCTCCCATCAGCCAAGGACTCTGACCTCCATAATAACAAGCTCAGCTTAATACCACATTTGTCACTCATGTTTCCTTCCACTTAGGCAGTGGACTATTTTGTACAGCACTGGCATATTGCTGGCCTGACAGTAACCCCTAGGGAGTAGCTGTCTAGAAGATGGAAGTCTCAATTTATGATCTTTGGCTTCTCTCATTCCCACTGGATATTTCAATAGAAATATTTCTATTTTTAGAGAATAAAACATGGATTGTATTTGCTGATTGGCTACATATTTCAGTTAACATTACATATTAGACATGTATCTACTTGCAGAATTGTCTTACGGTTTGGAGAACTGTAAACCTAGTAACATCAGTATTCTGCCTCTACCAGTTTCTACCTCCTCATGTGTGCTGGTATGACCTATGTCACCATTTAGCTTTGTAGGCAAAATCCATGTACACATGTACTATGTAAGTCCTTTCTCTGTTTTAAGCATTTTAACAAGTTAGTGTAAACAATCAAAAATGTATTTATAGAAGCATTTACTTTCAAAAACCTCTGTAACAATCCTGATTTACAAAACATATATAAATTACAATGAAAACACCACCAAAGACTTATCCAACCTGGTTCTTCTCCTTGCATGTCCTTGCTTGATCTATATGCTTATCTTTTATACTACCCTTACTCTTGGACATATGTGAATACATCTCTAAGTGCATTATAGCAATGCACTGCCCCTTGTGCTCTATGGCACTGAGCTTAAACACGCACCAGAAGCTGTCCTACGAGCAGTGTGAGACAGGCACTTATAAACACGTAACCTGACGTGAAGATGACACGTTATCAGATATTCTTTCATTCCACATCTTTCAGATGCAGAGACCATGAATATGTGCATAAAAGAAAGGCGATGTGATGCAGCAAACAGCTGTTCTCTCTCATGAGCTAATGTGACTTTTTGTGAGAACATATCTAAAGTATTAGAAAAAGCTTCGACTGAACTTTCTGTCCCAAAGACTGCCAGTACAAATTACACCAAAAAAGAAGAGAGCAAACAAATGTATTTACTCCTACTTTATACATAGGAAACTGAAATATGGTTAGTTTAAGCCTTCCAAACTGCAGCTTTGTGTCTTTCTACAAGACATACGTAGTATCAGAATTCTGTGACTAAAAAAATTAACCTCTCCCAGCAGCAGTCTGAACATGTAGAATAAGCAGCTGAATGTGCATAACTGAACAAAATTCAAGCAACGTTTGGTCTAGCAATCCTTGATGGCTTCCACTGGCCATCCTATCATATACTTGGGATTTGGTTCAAATGGCAGCAGTCACACATGTTTTGTCAGCATCTGCTTTAGGTCTCAAATGCCATGAGGTAGCAGTTTTCCAGGACCCTTACCCCTTGCTGAGAGGAACTGAAGGACTAGAAACACAGAAATCATGTAAGATGACTTATTTATGATCATTTATTCTGTCATGCCTTTGCTGTAGGACAATCTACAGAGGTGTTGCTGTTCTTGTCAGTATAATAAAAAATGCTTTTGGAAAATGCAGTTGGAAAAATACACATTGTACAAGAGAGGAAAAAAGCCAGAGGCAGGAAAAAAAAAAAAGAAAAGTACAAAAGAACAGAAACTTATCAGAAAGTATAAATATTATGGAAATGAAAATGCATGGGCACTATCTTGGAAAAGGGTCCTTGAAAAGGTTCCTTGAAATTCCAATGTAATTTCTAAGAACATATTAATCATCACTAACTTTCAAAAGTTCTGTGGAGGAATGAGAAGGCTGGCACAGACAGACCTCCTGAGTTTCTCATGGCATAGACAGGCCTATCCACAGCATCACAAAATAAAGTCAGTTTCTGTGGAGGGATGACTTAAAAAGGTCACATGGATGAACCAAGGAGCCTGAAAAGCAATACTTGAGTTATGTGAAAGATAGGTCAGGTCTAGAAATATGAGAAACTGGACGAAGCCAGGCCATTGCTGTATATTGCTATACACCTGGAAGAGCACAGACTTGACCTTAGGAGGATGAAGAGGAGGGCATGTGAATGCCTGCCAAGGACCATATCATACCATGTTCTTCTGTGAAGAACACACTCTGCAACTGAGTGAAGTGGAAAAAGAAATTTGGATGAGGCAAAGGAAAGATGAGTTTAAGACACAGCCAGTGAAGGCACCTGAGATCAGCTGAGCCTACAGCCCCAGGATTCCATGCTCAGCCATTTCAAGCTGCCAGAGATGTGCTCAAGGTCTTCCTTCCTCCTGGAACTTACTGTTCTTTGAGATACAAATCTGAGTGCATGGGGTCGAAAGAAGCTCTGTTATGCTTTGAGTGCATAAGTTGGATCTGGGCTGCAGAAATCACAATATTATGGCATCTTACCAACCACTCCTTACAGAGTCAGTCTCTGTGCAAGGCATCCTGTATAATCACTAGGCCAGATGGGTCCATACTGGCCTCTGTTCAAACGTGGATGCTTGGAAACCACTGCCAAAAGCAATCCAACCAAACCACTGTATTTTTGGAACAGTCTTTAAACACTTTTTCATGAGTTTTGCAGCTTTAAAGTGTATTTGAATGTGGGTGAAATAATGCACCGAAAAAGCCACCTGACGATCTTTCTCATGGAGGATGAACCTGGCATTGGCATTTCCCCTGGAAGGCTTTCCAAACAATTTTAGCTTTATTTTAGCTCTGATCACAGAATCAAAATTGTGTATTAAGATTTCCCGTAGGAGTTTTTCAGCAAGGTAGCTTCCAAACAAGAATTTAAAGAGGATGCATTGACCCCATAATTATAGTGATTAATTTTTAATACTTTGTTCTTTTCAGCATTGCAGAGAATATAATGGAAGAAGCTCTTAACATACTGCAGTGGCAGTAAAGAAAGATTGTTATACCTGTTAGCAAACTACATCTATTGGAAACTACAAATGTCTTATTGCAGGACTTGCATATCAATAAGCTGTTTAATGAAAGGAGATTAAGCACATGACACAATCAGACATGAATAAATACTTCTGAATCTGTGTATTTTATTAATTTCTCTTTGTAATTAGTCTAGTGACATAGAATCAGTGTCATGTACTGGTAAAAATCCAAGCTCTCTACTCTGTATTCTTTATGTATGAATTCGGAATGTTAGAACAAAAAAAATATTCTTGGTATCCATACTACAGATTTTCAAATATTATTTAAATTTCCAAAAGTATCAACATATTTTCTTATGAAAAATTAAGTGCAAATATTTACCATTTTGTTCAGTGAGCATTTACAAATAAATACTGTTTACCAGAAGTTACATGAATCAGTGCAAAAATCTGAAAACAGAAAGCATGAAAAAGGAAGGAAAATGCTGAACTCCTCATTCTATTTTTATCTAGTACCTAAGTGGAAATTGAAGTTATGGTTATATATATGATTTATGAAAGGAGACCGTTAAAAGAATAAATGCCTAATACAAACCAAGGAGATTTATTACAGAGGTAAAACACCTCTAAAGGTGCTGGAAACTGTGCTCTAAGAACCAATAAGGAGAAAGGAACTCTATCCCTGAGCTAGCAGCTCATCTTTCAATACCCACCCAAGACAAACCTCTGTGTGTTCAGGCAGTGGCAGCCAGGGGGTGTCCAGTCCCACCAACAGGACCACCCATGGCCACCCAGCCTTGTGACCCCCTGCACGACTCAGCACCCCAAATCCTGCCCATACAGGAGGGAGTCTGGGAATCCCAAGAGTCTGATTAGGGCAAGAGCCCCCAGACCTTCCAATTCCATGCTTTGAGAGGAATCTTCAAAGGGAGATGTTTCGAGAAAACAGACAACTACTTTGCAACAATGTTCCCCCCAATGTTTTTTGGGGGAAAAATAAGTCTGTGCAGCTCTAGATATGATCAAGCAAAATGGCTTTTGTCTGCAAGGCAAGGCATGTAGGGAGGCTGGTATATCCTAATAGGGTTGGAAGATAAAGTAGTCTCAATTAAAGGTTTTGCTATTTGTAAATGCTCTCTAGAGTGCAACTGTGGGAAAGAAGCAATGGAAGTGAGGCAAAAATCCTGGAAGATAACTGCTGGAAAAACAACTCAATATTCTTCAGTGAGAGAGCAAAAGGCTGTTAGTTTCCAGCCAGAGCCTAGCTATTAAAAATCCCAAGCAAACAAAAAAAAACCCCAACCCAACCAATGAACAAACTCCCCAAAAGTCCATGTCAAATCCCATAGGAAAATATGCTGCAGGAATACTGCCAGTGAGGGATGCAATGCAACTACTGAGTTTCTTACATCTCTGTGGGTCTAAAGATAGGAGAAGAATTTTGCAAAATGCGTATCTCAGTCTTTATAGAGGTGTTCTGTCACCTGTTGAGATTATTTTAACTTGTACTTTGTATTTGATAGAATAATACGCCACCAAATCACAACATTA